TTTCAAGTAAACACAATTTCTGTAGAAATTGGCATAGGCCTTAGATACCTTTCTTTTCTTCTTAATATTTTCTTTATTAGTTTATACCCTCTTCCAATCCAGGTTCTCGTTTGTAAGCTAATTTAACGATTAGTGAACAAACTTGTAACACTAGTCTTTTGATATTTTTGTGATAATTAAATTATTTGAAATTCCTCAACTAAAGATATCATAATCTCTTTCTTGTAAGAAGAATAAAGTGAAAGAGTCTTTGTTACTTTTGTTATTTTTGATATTTTAATTAATTAGTTAAATTATTAGTCACTTTAATTAAATAATTCGTAAATTAATTAGTTAGTACAGTCATTCAGAATACTATACCTAATTAAAACATTATTACTTTATCTTTTTCTCTTCTCGAACTATAACAATTTTAGTAGAAATTGGCATAGAACTTAAATATTATTTTTATATTCTTCTTATATTTGTTTAATTATCTCTCCTAACTCTTATTCACATTTATTAACTAATTACCCAATTACTGAAAAATGTGTAACAATATTATTAATTATTATATTCATATACTTTTATTTTTCTACCTTGTACTCATATACTTTTTATACTTTTTATATTTATATATTTATACTTTTCTACTTCATATTCTTATATTTTTTATACTTTTATATTTTTATACTTATTTATTCTGAGTAGGTATAATTTAGCCAATTAAAATTCTTTGAGATTTATACTTTTTCTTCTTTATTTCTCTACTTTTTATAATTATTAAATTGAAATTTTATTTTTAGTTAGTATAATTATTTTTTATATCTTTTTTTTATTTTTAATATTATATTTATATTTCAAAGAAAATATATAAATATAAGTTATAGTTGAGATCTAATTTAATATATCAGAACTTGAGAATAAATAATATAATAAAACAAATATTTTTTAATATTTAAAATAATTCATCTTGCTCTCTTAAAAGTACACTTCAAATCTTGTGAACAAATAGCTTTAAGACTGTATTAAGCTGATCAAAATGTTGATATTGAATTATTAAATTGATAGTTTGTTATAGATTAATCTTTTAATATTTTTGTGATAATTGAATTATTTGAAATTTCTCAACTAAAGACATCATAATCTCTTTTTTGTAAGAAGAATAAAGTAAAAGAGTCTTCATTACTTTTTTTATTTTGATATTTTAATTAGTTAATTAATTTATTAGTTATTTTAATTAAATAATTTGTAAATTAATTAGTTAGTATAGTTATTTGAAATACTATATTTAATTGAAACACTATTACTTTATTCTTTTTCTCTCTTGAACTATAACAATTTCAGTAAAAATTGATATAGGACTTAGATATTATTTTTATATTATTTTTATATTATTTTTATATTTTTTTAATTATCTTTCCTAACTCTTGTTCACATTTATTAGCTAATTACTCAATTAGTAAAAAATATGTAATAATACTCTACAAAAAATAATAATTGATTTATTATCTTAAATAATTTTAAATTCTTTATTGTTCTAATAATGAATGATTTTGGCTTTTCAGATTTTGTCAAGTTGTATTCTAAAAGAATAATAATTTATATTTTATCTTTTTGTAACCAAATATATTTGTTGAGATAGAAAGAGTGTAATTTGATGATATATAATAGGAAAGTTTTGTTTTATTTGCATTAAAGATATTTTCAGATTGATAATCTAAGAGAAGATTTCTTAATATAATTTATTTATTATTCAAGCTTACAAGAAATATACTGAAAGTCTTTTTATATATTTTGATATTATAAAAATTGAATCATTTTTTAAAATATGCTAATTATTTATTTGAAAATCTGAGTTCTATTAAATTAAGATTAAAAGCTATTCCTATATTTCAGATTACTAATTTTAAAATATTATTACTTATAGAAAGTTTAATAACTTCTGCATACATATGTTAAAGAGTAAAAAATTTTTTAACTTAAAGAACTTATTAATTTAGTTCTAAATTTACTTTTTAATTTGTTTATCTTGAAAAATAGTAAGTTACTTCTCCTTTTCTTTAAAAATAATTAATATTGTTGATTATGAGTAATTAAATCTAATTGCAAGTTCTTTTTGTTTTACTTGGAGATTTTGCTAATAAAAGATACAAATTTCAAACTTTGTTTAATTAGTAATTTGTACTCTTTTCTTGAAATTAAATAATATTATGAAATAAAAAAAGATAATAACAAATTTTAAATAATAATAATGATAATAAAGAAAAAAATAAGAAGCAACAAATAACAAAAGATAATAATAAATTTTAAATAATAATAATGATAATAAAAAAATAAGAAGCAATAAAATAGTAATAAATAATAATGATAATTATGATAATAGAGCTGGTGATAGTAGTAATAATGAAACAAGTAACAATAATAACAATAAAACTAGTAATAATAATAATAATAGATAATAATAATAATGGATAATAATAGTAATATAATAATAAAATGACAATGATAATTATGAAATTATATAATTTATAATTATATATTATAATATTATTATATATAATAATATTATTTAATTATTAGATAATTTAACTAAATATTTTACATTAAAATTATTGTAATGAGCTTATTATATAAATATTATTATAACAAATAATTTTTATTAAAAAAAATAAGTTTCTAATTAATAATTTTATTATATCAAAATGTTATTATAAAAAATATTATTATAATAAGCTTTGATTGTAATTATTTTTTTTTGGATTAATTAAAAAGAATATATTAATAAACAAAAAAAACAAATAATAATAAAAATATAAGAAGAAACTTTTATATTAATAATTTTTGTTTTTATAAAATCAAGTTCTTATAATAAAATAACAAAATATTAAAAATACAAAAATAATTAAATAAAATAACAATAACAAAGTAATATAAATATTCAAAACAAAACTTTTTTGTTATTTTTTATTTAAAGAAATAAGTTCAAGTTTTATATTAAATAACTTGTAAGTAAAAACTTATTATTTTATTTCAAAGTTTCAAGTTTTCTAGAAGTTAATTCTATTTATACATATTTTTGAACTATACAAATTATTATTTTATGCTATAAAAATAAATATAAAAGAAAATAAAGTAGAAAGAAAAATCAAAAATAGAAATAAAATATAAAGAAGAAAATAAAGTAGAAAATAAAAAATTAAGTAGAAAATAAAAAAGTATAAAATAGAAACTAAAATAGAAAGTAGAAAAATAAATAGGAAATAAAGTAGAAACTAAAAAATAAAATAGGAAGAAAAATAGAAAATAAAAGTAGAAAGTAAAGAGAAGTGTTTTGATTGGACAAATTATAATGAATAGTTGAATTATAATTTTACAATGGTAAGTGTTATTGAAATGTACTAACGCTAACGCTAAAAAAGTACCCCGAGTGAGCCAAAAATTCATTTAGAGCCTAACGCTAATAATTGAAAATCATTAAATTCCATGTCCACTGGCACTCTGAAAAAAATGCGAGTTTTACTGGTGTATATCGATATAGCGATAGCAATAGTTATAGTAACGGCAATTGTGCATATCGATATCGATATTTAACGTGTGTTTTGTAAGCATATATACGTATACACTCCTAACGCTAAGTTTTGATTTATTTACATTTTACATTTTAATTTTACTTTTTCTATATAAAAATTAAAAAAAATCTTCCTTCATGGAACTAGTGTTTCGAGAGAAACTAGTTTCGCCCAATTTGTAGGGCGAAATTGAAATTTCACAGAACGAATCATTTCGGATTTTGAAAATAGTTTCGCCCGAAACACTAGCTCCATCCCCCTCAAGCCTCCGTAGGGGAAGAAGCCTCCTTCATCACGCTATCATGAATAAAAACCAAATAAGTTATAAAATGATTAAATATTCCAAAGTTGAAAAAAAGAAAAATTTATTTACCCTTGCTGTTTCGGAATTTTTCGATCAAGATGTGTTTTCTCTGTATGTTATCACACGAGAGTTCGCACACCTTGTTCGAATTAAAATGGTTCCATTTTTTACCAACGCGACTCTTGATAAACGAGAGCACTGCGCTATTATTGAAGAATTTCGAAATAAGTATTAGATTGAAAATTCTTCCTAATAATCGACGCTTTTTAAAAAAACTTACTTGGTATCAACAAAGTTAACAAACGCGTACCCCACATTGCAGCGATTGTTAAAGTCTATTTTTAAATATATATAATCGTATTGCCCTTTGTGAGTCGCGTCGAAGGTTTCCAACAACATTCGCTATTAATGAAAAGTATTTGATCAATTTGTTATTTATAATTCGAAGAAATATATATATACCTGTGTATATTTGTTTGAAATATTTTTAATCATGAATGTGGTCCTCTCATCCTCTAATAAAAAGCATATATGTAGATTTTAGCAATTAGAAAAACGAACATAAATTAAGAATAAAAAATTATACCTTACCTCGTGCTATTTCTGCAACATCAATTGCAATAATACTGTTTCGATGAGCTCTAGTTTGTCTGGCTGCATTTGACTTACACTTGTGATTATATAATTTGAATTTATTGTTTGCTGCATCGTGCGAGTCATAATACATGTATTCAATTAACAAATTTATATGAATTTACCTTTATTTTAGACTCCTCTATTCTTCTTCCAAAGATATTTAACATATTTATTCCTTCGTAGTCCAGGTAAACTGCCTAAAAGTATATATCGATATGAAAACATAATTAATTCATATAGATCACTTAATGTTAATATTTGCTTGGAAAATTGTTTTACCTTCTTGTAGAATGGCTTGGAACAAAATTCAACGTCCAACAGGTATCTTTGAAGTACTTTACGCGCTTTCATTGCGTCTCTAATGTCACATAGACAGGTCCAACAAGCATATATAGATATTTTTTACATCTCCTTGAGCCTATTTATAGAGTACGTAGTATATTTGAAACATATATAAAAAACTCGTTTAATGCGTCGATCTGTATTTTTTTTCGGAACTCCGGAAGGTTAAGCCCCAAATAATGCAGTATGAAACTAGAACCATACAAGATTGAAATTCAAACAATTTGATACTTTGTTGACAGATTGATAACGATAATGGTTTAGGTTTTACTTTTCCCAATGGAATATTGGTAGAATGATCTTGAGTTTCTAAAAATATCAACAGAGTCCTTTAAGTGGGGGTGGATAAGGAATATCATTATTATTATCGTGAATAGCAAAGACACATATAATAAATGGTAAAGTTTGGTTTTACGTAATAACGATCACGATAACCATTATAGCCACAATAATGATTTTTTTTGCTGCCAAAAGTTGTACGAGTAGAAACAGTTTAAAGTAGAAAGTACGGAATAAAGGTTAAAGACAAAAAAAGTTTCAAACTAAATGAAGTTAAAGACAAGTCAAAATTTTTGATATTTCAAACTGATTTATTTTGTGCATAAAAAGCATATCGATATATGGGTAACGGTAATAATGTGCCATGTTATTTATTTCTCTGTTTTCTATAATTACGTATTCATAAAAATTACATAGGAATTGGAGGTGTCGTGAAAATGGTAATAATTTTTTCAGTGTTGAATGAAATACGTATCGGTATTGTTTAATAACGATAAGCTGACAATGGAAAAGATTAATGTCGATACGTACGTACATGTGCAAACTTTTGGAATCTCGAAAAATTACCAATAATTTTTTATTTAGAAAACGTGAGACACTGTTCTTCATTATATTACGGTCAAATGATGACAACGACAATGATACAGAAAAAATTTCTCTTATATTTCTTTTTTTTTAGTACTTATCGCTATATTTGGTTTCATGTTGAGGGAAGAAAATACAAATAAAAAGGCAAGCTAAAAAAAATTTCAGCTTCCAAATTATAATTTTCCTTGCCATTATCAATAGATAATAGTAACAGCAGTGGAACAATACGTAGTAAAATGGTGGTTGCGAAAAAAAATTGACGTAACAAAAAAACAGTCACCGGCAAAAGTAATGGCGCTGAGATTTTTTTGAAAGAGAGGAAATTTCAATAATCACTATCGAAAAAATTTTACTTCTGAAATGCCCCATTATACCCTCAAAAAATTAAGACAGAATATTCTCTTATATCGAATGCTGAAAACAGTAGAGATTTTTGTCTCTGCTTATTATTTTTTACTGTGTTTACAATTTCTAATGCAATATTTTCAGCCGAATATTTTTTCTTGATGGATGAAGGCTTGTTGACACAGTAAAATTTCGCGTAATTACATGTCACAATTACAATCCTTAAAATGCATTTTGGACCAGTAATGCACATCTTTCCACGCCAGAATTTTTAGAAGGCTAATTATATGATAAAGTTGCACCCCCTTTACTTGGAGACAACTAAAATATTTTCATTTTTATGTTTATTGAATTTTATTGTAAATGCTATATATTATTAATATCAACTATACTAATTTGTAGCTCTTATTTCAAGCTACAATTTTGCTTAGAATTATAATTTATAATTTCTATTGAAAAATAAATGTTACTATAGTAAATCAATATTTTTAAATTTATATAACTCTCTAAATATTATTATCAATATCAATATAGTAAATCTCTCTAAGTGCACCTTATATAAATGCATGTGCTATATAAGTTATCTCTAAATGCATGATATAACTTGGTTCCAAGATATAAAACACATGTATTTCACTCTCTATAAATACACACTCTCTCTAAGTACACACTCTATCTGTTTTTATTATAATTTTAAGAGAGATGCACTTAGAAAGATTTCACTATATAAATTATTTTATATTAATTTGTAGCTTTAATTGTAATTTATAATTTTACTTAGAATCTTTTAATTATTCAATAAGATTATAATCAAATAATATATAAAAGTTTATTATATACTAATATTATAAATTAAGCAATAATAATTTATATATAGTCAAAATTCTTTATAATGATCACATTGAATTGATACTTTTGAATTAGTATATAGTATTTGTATTATAAACTTTAGTATATAAATAGTTAAAATTATAAAAATCAGAATATTAATATAATATAAGCTAAATTTAATATATATTGTATTATTATAAAGAATTTTAATTATAATAAATATTTTTTATATTAATTAAAATTTTATAGATTGGTTATTAAGCTTATTTATAAAGTTATTTATCTATTAATAAAAAAATTCATAATTTGTATAAAGAATATTTAAGTTATAAGTTATTATATATAATTATTTAGTATTAGAGTTTTATTAATTTTACAAAATAATAATTTTATATATGTATATATTATATATTATATATATATATTTTAGTTTGAAAATATCGTTAAGAGAATTTGTAATTTATATAATATTAAAGTTATTAAAATAAATAAAAATAATTAAATTAAATTAATTTCTTTAAAAAATTTAAATTTAAATTTAGTTTTAAAAGTTATTAATTTAATATAAAATTTTGATAAAATTATATTGTAAATTTTGCTTTATATAACAAAAATATAATTAATTTATTAAAAATTCTAAATTATGATTTAAATTCTCTTTAAAAAAATACTTTATATAATATTATATAATATATAAAAATTATATTAGTATTAAATTAATAAAATAAATTATATTTAAATAATTTAATATTAATATAATATATTAAGTATTGATATTAAATATTTAATTAATTATTTTAAAAATAAAAAATATTAAAGTATAATTTTATAATAATTATATATTAATAGTATTTTTATTGAAACAAAATTAAAAATATAATAAATTTAATTTATTATATATTTATAATTATATATTTATAATTATATAATATCAATTTTTTTAAATATTAGTATAAAAACATATTTGTTCAAAATTAAATTAAAGTTTTTAATATTATTTAAAATATTTATTTTCTTTTATTCTTGTATTATTATAATAGAAAAGAAAAATCAAGTTATTTTAAAAAGAAATAATAATAATATATAATATTTTATTATAATAGTAGTAATTCTTTTCTTAAATTTATAATTTTATAAAATTATATAAATTTTATTTTATTTAATATTAATTATAATTATTTTATTTTTAATTATTTTTAGTATTATATTTATTATTATTATTATTATTATTAAATTATAAATATTAAAAACTTTATTATATTATTATTTTTAACTAATTTTTATAGAATTTTTATAAAAATTTTATAAAATTTTATACTAAATTTTATAAATTTATAACATGAGTTATTTTAGTTATAATAATTTATATAGATTATTTTTAATATTTTTTTGATATTCAAAATATATTAATAAAAATAATTTCTTATTTTATATTTATAAGTTAAAAATAAATAAAATATTTTATAATATACTTCAATTTTAATAATTATATCTGAAAATTTTATTAATTTTGTATTATTTTATTATATTTTATCTTTATTATAACTTTATTTTATGAGTTTATTCTATTTTCTTTTTATAATTTTTTTATTTATTATATACTTTATTTTTATAATTATTTTCTTAGTTATTTGATCTTTTAGTTTAATTTTTTATTTTATATTAATAAATATAGATTTGAAACTTAAATATATTTTATTTATTTATCTAATTTTTTTTTAATTCTTATTAGTTAATTTTATAATTAGTAAAAAATATATAATAACTTATTAGAAGTAATATATTTTTTTTAATTTTTCATAAATTATATTATTACAAGTTGTTTACTAATTATTAAATTAGCTTATAAACTTGAATCTGAATTAAAAGAAAGTAATAAACTAATAAAAATATTAAAAAAAAGAAGAGTATCTAAGACTTATACTAATTTTTATAGAAATTATATTTATTTAAAAAATATAATAATATAAAAGAGTTATGAAAGAGTAAAAATAAAAAGAGAAAAGAGAATATAAAAGAATAAAAAGTAAATAATAAAAAGAGTTTGAAAAACTAATTCTCTGTATTTATATAAAGCTTTTTAGAGATAAGACAATATAATTAGTAATAATAATAACAAAGTTTCAAACTAAATGAAGTTAAAGACAAGTCAAAATTTTTGATATTTCAAACTGATTTATTTTGTGCATAAAAA